CTTGACAGCTACCCATGGCTGTTCAACGCAGTTCCACATGTCGTGCTCTATGGCTCTAGCATTCAACTCGGAGCAATCAGGACACCGCCACCAGTGGACTTTCGACTATTGTTCGGGTTTCGATCGCAACGAAACACCTCGTAATCATATCCGAACGCTTGGCTGGAAAGCGTTCGAGAGTCTAGCCATGTCTCGGTTAAAACTATTACATCGTAGCAACGGTCCGATACAGCTAACAGGTACTCGTGAACGTCAGAATTCATTCCACCGATGTTTTGGTAGTACATGGTGATATCCTCTCTTCGGTGTATATCCGTGCTACGCGGAGCGATGTCCCTGGAAATCACGGGGGCGAAAGGTAGCAAACGAACATTACTATTCATAAAACTGATCATAGAACTCCGTGATATTTTCTAAACCACTCATAGACGTATTATTAGAAGGAATTCAGAGGTATGATCGTAAAATGGACGATGGAAACCATCGAAACGTCCGGAACAAATTCATGAATCTTATCATAGATGTCTTATCAAAATGAATTCGGAGGTGTGACCAAAACATTGACGCTGGGAACCACGGGATGGTCTACCGGAAGATTCGAAACATCCGTAAAAGTGGTGAAGCTCCGTGGTATTATCGAAACTTCTCGTAGATTCTCAGAATAACTTTGGAGTTGTGATCAGAATATGGATGCTAGGGATCCGTAAGAGTAATAAATTTTTGAAACTGTGCCTAGAACTTCGCGGTTTTATCGAAACCACTCATAGATGTCTTATCAGAATGAATTCGGAGTTGTGACCAGAATTTGCACTCTGAAGACTACGGGATGGTACACCAGAATTCTGGAAAATCTGTAAAAGTGGTCAATTAATGAAACTGATCCTAGAGCGCCACGGTTTTTTCGAAACTACTTATAGACGTCTTATCTGATTTAATTTGGAGTAGTGACCGGAATATGGACTCTGGGGATTACGGCATGGTGCACTGCAAGATCCGGAACATCCGTAAAAGGGGTCAATTCATGAAACTGATCTTAGCGCTCCGTGGTTTTATCGAAACCACTCATAGATGTCTCATCAGAATTAATTCGGAGTTGTGACCAGAATATGCACTCTGGGTGTCCGGCCATTTCGCCGAATGGGTCGTTTGGCCGAATGCCGTTTGGCCGAATGCCGTTTGGCCAAATACATGAAAAGAGATTTCAAAATTTTGAAAATCAGTAGAAGTGGTCAATTCATGAAACTGATCCTAGCGCGCCGTGCTTTTTCTCGAAACCTCTTAAAGACGTCTTATCAGAATGAATTCGGAGTTGTGACTATATAATGAATGCACGGAACAACAGGATTGTACTACAAATGATACGGAACATCTCTCATAGACGTCTTATCAGAATGAATTCGGAGTTGCGACCAGAATAAGGACGCTGGAGATCACGGTATGGTCCACCGAAAGATCCGGAACATCCGTAAAAGTGGTCAAATAATGAAAATGATCCTAGAACTCCGCGGTTTTCTCGAAACCATAAACGTCTTATCATAATCAATTCGTAGTTGTGACTGGATTAGGGACTCTAGAGACTACGGGATGGTCCATTGGAAGTTCCGAAACATCCGTAAAAGTGGTCAACTAATGAAACTAATCCTAGTGCTCCGTGGTGAGACCTCTTAAAGATGAATTATTAGAATTAATTCGGAGCTTTGACCAAAATATGGACCCTGAGGACCACTTAATAGTACACCGAAAGATCCGGAACATCAATAAAAGTGGTCCATTAATTAATCTTATCCTAGAACGTGACGATTTTTTGTGAAACCACTCATAGACGTCTTATCAGAATGAATTCGGAGTTGTGACCATAAAACGGACACTGGGGATCACTGGATGGTCCATCGGAAGATCCGAAACATCCATAAAAGTGATACCACTTTGGAACCACTCAACTACTGGAACCACTCATAGATGTCTTATCAGAATGAGTTAAGAGTTGTGACCGGAATATGGACTCTGGGGAAAACGGGATGGCCCACCGGAAGATCCTGAACATCCAGAATAGTGGTCAATTAATGAAACTGATCCTAGAACTCCGCGGTTTTCTCGAAACCATTCATAGACGTCTTATCATAATGAATTCATAGTTGTGACGAGATTTTGGACTCTGGGGACTACGGAATGTTCCATAGAAATATCCGAAACATTCGTAAAAGTGGTCAATTCATGAAACTGCTCCGTAAGCTCCACTTTTTTTTTCAAAACCTCTGATAGATGTCTAATCAGAATGAATTCGGAGTTGTAAGTTCGGATTTCTTCCAAATCAACTCTATGAAAAATCAGTCCAAAAACTTTGGCTGACTGGCAGCGACTAACTAGCCTGTACATGTTTAATTAGAACTTATCTAATTAACATAGATTTAGGTTTAGCAAGGTACATACTTCAGAGATTTTTCCAACAACACTGCTTATAACCTGCATGTAAATTCATATTTTAGCTTTGATCAGTCCAAAAACTTTGGCTGATTTTTCATAGAGTTGGTATGGAAGAAATCCGAACACGGTATATGGACTCTGGGGACCACGGGATGGTCCACAGGAATATCCGAAGCATCAGTAAAATTGGTGAATTCACCAAACTGATCGTAGTGCTCCGTGGTTTTTTTCGAAACCTCTCAAAGACGAAGAATGAATTCGGAGTTGTGACTAGAATATGGACGCTGGGGACCACGTACTGGTCCATCAAAAGATACTGAACATCGGTAAAAGTGGTCAATTCATTAATCTGATCCTAGAACTTCGCGGATTTTTTGATTCATAGATGTCTTATCAGAATGACTTAGGAGTTGTGACCATAAAATGGACGCAGAAGATCACAGGATGGTCCATTGGAAGATCCGAAACATCCTTAAAAGTGATAAATTCCGGAATTTGATCCTAGAATTTCGAGGTTTTTTTTTTTATCATAGATGTCTTAGCGCAATGAATTCAAAGTTGTGACCGGAATATGGACCCTCCGAAAAACGAACCATAGAGGTAACTCTAAGACCAGAAGGTCCCGAAGAAACGCGCTCAACTTTTTGGCTCAGCTCTGGTACTATTTTGGGTCCCAAGCTAATCGATGCACCCCTGCACCCCGAAACATAGGAAAATCCACGTACCCCTCATTTTACCTGTCAATCTTTCATAGTGAATCAAAACAAACATAATGTACTACTAGAATTTCTACTAGAATGGGGTACGCTTATATATGTATTTGTGACCAATAGGCTAGTCAAGTAGTGAGCCAATTAAAAATCGTTAGTTTTCACCGGTTGCTAGATCTCTGCAGTTTTTTTTTTCAAAAACGCTGATAGACGTCTCATCAGAATTAATTAGGAGTTTAAAATGAAATATTACATTTTTAGTAAACCACATAAGTATACTATAGTTCAACCTGTTAAACATGTTTGCTATTTCATTTTTATTTACCCCCAATGTTGCCTTAATTTGATTTAAACATATCTATTAGCCGTAACAGCTTTTCGAAACAGTGACTTCTTTCTATGATTTTTAGAAATTCAAGGCACGCCCACGCAAACAAACATTACCGTCAGGTAGGGAAATTATTATAAGACATCATCGAAAGAAGTTAGTGTTTACAAAAGCTGGTACGCCCTAATTCCAGGTCTATCTTGATATGGGAACTGACATCCGATTTATGTCCTTGACGAATGTCTAAAAAATACTATTTTACAAATGTATGGTGGTCCTGAAAAGAACCGTTTGGCGTGATGGTTGAGTAATGCTGAGCTATTAGGGTGTTAAACACAGATGAGGCTAGTGAGCTGTATGTTGTTTGGAATGAGGGAGACGCGCTTGGCATAGATGGCCCACAACAAGTCACGAAGAGCTACTGATTCACATTAATTGCGGTGCGGCTTCTTCCTCCTTCTATGGATGGTTGCAGGCAGCCTTTCGTTGTGTACTGGAGAACAATGTTCAACGCCACGCGCCAAAAGCACTGCTGCTGCTGCTACTGCTGATGCCGAGGACCGGACACCACCACACACGGTGATTGGAACTGAATCCGATCAGTGGTTGAGGCCAGCCTTGGTAGCTAGCTGCTTGCGGAGAGCCTTTTGTTGTGTACTCGAGAACACCACCACTCACCACGCGGTGATTGAATAAACACCGTTTGGTGAGACCGGATGGAATTCAACTTTGAAATCTGTGTTAGAGAAATCGTTTTCACAGGTAATCGGTGATAATTTTAATTATCATAGCAACAGTTGTACATTCGTGCAATTTTTAACAGTGACATTTTCAAAAGTGATAAATTTAACAGATGCGTAAAAACATTTGTGATCGATTGATGATAAAATTATTGAAATTGGTCCAGGGGCTGCTGAATTACTAACGTTCAAAAACTTTCATAATTTTGTTACATGTTCCATTTTCGGTTTTCACAAAGTGTACCCCCATATAGAAATCACAGACGTAGTCCTACATCAAAAAACAAAGTGTTAACTATATTTATACAAGCCAATACTATTCCTCTTTTATGCATCGAATGAGTGAAAACGGCGAGGCTGAATTTAGCATAGAAACAAGTCAAAATTTACTCTTTTTATTTCTTTTTGATTGTTCAATAGATGGATAACGATTTTTAACACACAAATGACCAACTGTTATCCTAAAACACAAGAAGTTATTTGAAGGAACGCTGATGAATGTTGGTAACAATTATTCGATTTTGGGTAAACAAATTAACCCATTCAATTAATTTTGGGATGACTCCGGTGTAGTGGTTAACGTCCATACCTCTCACGTCTATGTTACGAGTTCAAATCTCAGCCCCGGATAAATCACGAATGAGGTGGTCAACTAGTCAGTTATCTCTTCAAATTACTCAACAATAAGAGTTTGTCCCCAATTTGCTCTAATCCCATATAGTACGTGTACATTCGTTACGACCCCAATTAACCGTACTACAGGAATCTTGACTGTAAATGATTTCCTCTCGTTCACAGCCGTCTACAGTTTCGAGTTCCCCGACGGTCAAAACTTTACCGCCCGTGGTGGTCCCCTGCAGGGAACGTTCCAATTCGACAGCCTGCACTTCCACTGGGGTGCCTCGTCCGATCGGGGTGCCGAACACGTGGTGGACAGACGACGATACGCCATGGAAATGCATCTGGTCTTCTTCAACCAGCAGTACGGCTCATTAAGCAATGCCGAAACGATGGAAAATGGTCTCTTTGTGTTGGGGATCTTCCTCACCAATAGTACCACCGAACCCAACTACGGCTGGCTTCCTGCACTGAACCAGGTTCAGACGGCTGGAACGAGCTACACCCTACCGGATCCGACGGTGTTCAACATTAAGCAGCTGATTGGCGCCAGGAGAAGGCCGTACTTTTCGTACCACGGTAGCTTGACCACTCCTCCGTGCTACGAGACGGTGAGCTGGATCGTACAGAGGAAACCGCTGCCCATATCGGAGGCCCAGTTGAATACATTCCGCTCCCTGCGTAAAGATAATGGAGAACCCCTGGTTGATAACTTCCGGATGTTGCAGGATATCAATGGTCGGCAAATTTTCTTGTACCGATAATTCGGTTGAACCTTCTCTAGAACGATGAACCAAATTGCATTTCAACGACCCTGCTCAACATGCACCTATGTAGTCAAGAATAAAACATTGGAAAATTCTAAACCAATATCTCATTTGCTTCACTGACCTACGAGTATCAGGTTTCCCACACCTTTAACTACACTATCTAGCATTGTCATTCAAAACCGAATACAACTACTTCTTGTTTCCCGTCGATTAAGGCGGTAGCAAAACATCCGGGTTTCCTAGTCCAGAACAGATCCAGAACATCTGGAGTAAGTAGCCAGCCAGTGTGTACGTTTAAAAACTGGAGCACCCGGCTACAGCCACCCCAGTCTGCGTCGTACTGCTTGGGTGTCAACACAAGCAGTAGCAGCAGATTTCAATTAGTCCGAGCAGGGGAAGAAATTCGATCAAGCGCGTGAGTTGCCAGAGGCTAGGTTCGAGCTAGCTTGGGCGTGTCCCCCACTTTCCTCCGAGCGCGGGCAGAACAAGACACGCGGTGTTCAAGATCAAGTTCGCGGGTGTAGCCGTTACCAGAGTAGTGTAGGAAATCGGCGTGAGAAAGCAGTGATTTATCAAGTGGAGCCGGTGATAGAGGAAAAATTAATTGTCGCCTGTCAGCTTTGCGCGTAAGATTAAGGAATTTGCCGCTGCTACAGTTTTTTTGAAAGGAAGTTGGCAGTTTGTTCAGTTGTTCGGACTGCAGCAGAACAAATAGTGTGATTTGTCCGGAGGAGATTTGTGTTGGATTTGTATTGGAAAATGAAACCGCCTATTTCGGTAGCTTGGCTACTGACGATGGTGCAGGCAGCTGTGCCGTTGGTGAACTGTGGACGTAAGTATTTGATTGTGATCTGAATGCGTGCGGTAGGTAACCTATTCGAAACTTTTTTGACATGACATCATTTTTAGGTATGGCATAGTTCACTTCGAATCATTCGAAGAAACTTAATAATTTGTGGTTCGTTCTCCCTAAGCTCAAACGTGACATCACATTTGTTTACAATACATAAATACATATAAAAAAATAGGACTTCTTTAACGAAATCGAAAAAAAAAACAATATTTCAGAAACATTTTCCAGCATATTTTGATCCACAGCTTGAAATTTTAATGTTATAATGTTTGTCCTTAAGAGTAATTTATAAAAGCATATTTATGTGATCTATAAAAATTTTGGGAATTTTTTTTTCTGGAGATTTTAGACAAGTATTTCAAATCAGAATTTTTTGGGTTGGAAATTTTTCTCCTTAGAATACTTTAGCAATTCTTCTCAAGATGCCATCGGAATCGATCACAACGTTTGAGAAGTTTAAAATGACATATCTTACCACTCAAACTTTGCCTTGCAACATTATAAGATCTGCTGAGAAATTTTTTGAGCTTCATGGTAGTTCGTAGATCTTGAGAACAGAACTACAAAACTTCAGAAAAATTTACAGAAATTAAATAAATTTGCAGATCTTTAGATAAATTTTCAAAGAAATTTTCAAAAATTCAAGCAAGCAAAAATATTTTCACATCAATTTGTAATACTATAAGGAAATTCGCAGAACTTCAGACAAGTCCAAGAATCTACAGTTAAATGTAAATAATTTCACAAAAGCTTGGAGATCTACTGCAAAATTATAGAACATCTGAAAAGTTCGTTGATCTTCAGAGCAACGCTACAGAACTCCTGAAAAAAATCACTAGAATGGTCATAGATCTTCAGATAAATTTAAAGACCTTCAAGAAAGTGTGCAGATTTTCTGATACATTTTTAGAATCTCAGAAATTTTAATGGATCTTCAGGGAAGTTCGGCGATTTAAAAACAGTATTGATACAATTTCAGGGAAATTTGTATATCATGAGAAAAATATTTAAAACTTCAAGGAAGTTCAAATATTTTCAGATAAATTTTGAGAACTTTGGGCAATTTAGAAGATCTTTAGGGTAGCCCGAGAGCCTGCAGAGGAATTTACTAAACTTCAGAGAAATTTGCAGATCTACTGAGAAATTTATTGAGCCTCAAGGTAATTCGTAGATCTTGAGAATACTTTACTGAACTTTAAAGATATTTGTAGAACTTCAGAAGAGTATATATTAAGAGAAATATGCATAACTGCAAGGAATTTTGCAGATCTTCAGAGATATTCAGGTTGGTTCAGAAAGCTTCACAGTTTCAGAAAAATGTGATATCTTCAGAAAAATTCGTAAAATTTCAGAAAAGTACTTTAATTTTAAAAACAAATCTCAGCGAAGTACGAAAGTCAGTGGCGTCGGTGGTGTAGTGGTAAGCGTGATTGCCTCTCACTCCAGCAGGCCTGGGTTCAATCCCAGTCGGCACCGCCGGGATGTTCTGAGGCATAACATCTCTGATCACTAGACTGATGCAAATTTTGACTTTTTCACTCCACAGTGCTTAAATGGTTTCAAATCGGGTCCTGATTAGCCTCCCAAAGTTACAACTCATTTGGTTAGAAACAGACTTCGCACAAGCCATTTGAAGTTTACATGTAAATTACTATGGGAAATCTCAACTTTTTGTTCATTGCCTTCTATTCTTGTTCCATATTGAGCTGCAAAACAGTTTGATAGCCATTATTATAGAAAATTTTCTCAGCTACAACTTTGCTCAAGATTGTTTCTAGGTAAAACGAGACATACAAACTTTAAATGGTTTGTGCCATCTCAGTTTCTCACCAAATGGGTTCAAATTTTGAGAGGTTAGTCAGGATCCGATTTGGAATCGTTTAAGTATTGTGGAGTGAAAATTTCAAATTTTGCATCACTCTACTGATCGCGCCTTCCTTCGGAAGGGAAGTAAAGCCGTTGGTCCCCGGTTCATGAGTTGATGGATCAATAGGTAGGGTCCAGGTGTGGGAGCTGCCTTCCTGACGTCGGTAACATTAGTGCTCAGCACGGAAAACAAGATTGACAAAAAACAAATCAAGGAAAAAAAGTGTGAAAGTCCAAGATTTTGAAGAACTCCATGGAAATTGGAAATAGATATATCTGAAGAACTTCAGAGAAGTCTGTAGATCTTAAGAGAAGTCTGTAGAACTTCAGGAAGTTCGTATATTTTTAGAAAAATTTGAAAAACTTCAGTAAAACTCACAGAATTTTGGTAAAGTTCGCCGATTCTTAGAAATATTTACACAACTTCAGAGAAATTCACAAATCTCTACAATTTAGAAAACTTCAGCGATGTTCAAATATATTCAAATAATTTGTAGAATTTTGAGGAATTTCCAAGAATTTCAGATAAATCTGCAGAACTTTATGGAAGTCCAAGAATGCACAAAAAAAAAATTACAGAACTTTAGAGAAGTTCGGAGATCTACTGAGAAATTTATTGAACTTCAGGGCAGTTCGTAGATTTTTCAGAGCGGAAATACAGTACTCCAGAAAACTCAACAGAATTTTAAAGAAATTAGGAACTTCAGAAAAGTTCAGAGGATAGATCGTAAATCTACTGAAAAGTCAGCAGATGTTTAAATACATTCTCCGAATTTTATTGAGTTTCTTGTATTTTAAGAGAAATTAACAGAACTTCAGGGAAGTTCGCTGATCTTTAGAGATATTTGCACAACTTCAGAAAAATTAGTAGATCTTCAGAGAACTTCCTAAAACTTCCGGGAAGCTCAAAAATTTCTAGATAAATTTTTAATACGTTAGGGAATTGTGTAGATGTCCAGAGATATTTTCAGATATGATCTTAAATTTGCAAAGATTCAGGAACTTTGTAGATTTTTAGAAAAATTTGCAGAACTTTTGCAGAACACGCAGAACTCTAAAGAAAGCTGCAGATCTTCAGGAAAATTTGTTGATCTTTAAAGATATTTTACCAGAAAACAGAAACAATACTTTAGGGACGTCCGAGGGTCTTCAGAGAACTATGCAGAATTGAGTTCTTAACAGAAATTTTCAGAACTCAAGGAATCATGTAGATCTATAGAAAACTTTTCCCACTAGCTTGTCGAAAGTTGGTATTGACATCCTGGCGAATTTTTCATATCGCAGTTATTGAAGGACAAGATGAGCCAGATCCCTGCCGGTGTTCCTTCTGAGTACCATTTCCTACTCCACAAAGTTCAGCTTCTCTTTCTCATTTTATTTCAAATAAGAAATGCAAATACAATCTTTTAAATTTGTCGAACCTCATAACGGAATCCGGTTGGTATAGTACAGTCCCGTACGCTGGCGGGCAGACCGTGGAGGCAACGAACATGCTCGAATTGTGGACATACTCTTGTGCTTCACCGTCGAAGGAATATGGCAAATTTCACAGGTCTTCCTGAAGGGTCCTCCGCTGAAATCCCATGAGATTAGGGCATGTCCTGTCCCGGGACTGGAAAAAATCCTCTGGTCTCGCCGGTTCACAAGGTCCGTCCACTTTCCGATGTTGCCTTTGATTTTGTTAATGAAAGGAAGTCCGGCACTGGACCATTCCGTTGCCCACGCTGTCCGAACTGTGCAAGTGATCCATCTCTTCACGTCCTACAACGGCACCTTGTGCGATTACCGAGGACTAGATGGGCCTGACCCAGCTAGGTTGTCCGCCTTGATGTTTTCCGGGATTCCACAGTGTCCGGGAATCCATGTGTAGGTAGTGTTTGTGGCGCAACCTTCAGGACGCCCTGGATCCAGGGGTGGACCGGGACCTCCTACGACAGGGCCTGAATAACACTGTGGGAGTCCGACAGGATCAGGATTGGACAATCCAACAGGAACCATGACCGCATGAAGAATAGCTGCTGCTTCTACCGGGAACACCGAACATTGTTTTGGCAGACTTGTACTCGTTGGGGAAATGTCACCAGCGATTCCGATTCCGACTCCAGCTCTCTATCTTGACCCGTCCGTGTAGTGATGCATGTAGTTAGGGTACAATCTGGTCAGCTCAGCTACCGATCTCCTAAGGGCTACGAAATTGTCCCCGGCTCTGAACTTCTTCTTTATCCGGCTGTCGATGTTTGGTGCGGGAGATTGCAAACTCTTATCTCCGTACCTGTGAATCTTGGCCACTGGGGGGAGCACTGCGTTGGCGATTGTACGGAGAACTTTGCCCCCCTAGCTGAGGCGGCAGATTCTGTTGTTTCCGGCGGTATTTGCTGAAAATGCAGTGGCTTTGTTGGCAATAGTTGCGTAGATGCGGTACCGGAAAGGGAGAGTAACGGCTTCGACACAGTTGGCATCGGCTGGCGTCGAGGGCAGAATACCAGAGAATATACGCGTGTAACTATTGTACACTGGAGCGAGTGTTTGTATTGTCTTATCGGTAGCGATGCAGGTCAGCTCGAGTCCGTACATCAGCCGGTTGTCTACGATGGCCCGGGCAACACGGAAACGTACTTTTCTGTTGTTGGAGCAGTGGGGACGGGAGATTGAGCGGATGAGGTTGATCCTGATGCGACAGCTGGCCTTGACCCCTTGAAAGTGCTGGTCAAACTCAAACCCCCAGCAGTTTCACAATTTTCTTCAGTGTGATAGCTTGATCACCTATCTTTATAGAAGGTCCGCAGACCCGATGTCGGTACTGGCAAACGTGGCACCTAGCGCTCTTTCCAGTCGACAGCTGAAAGCCTTTCGAAGCGGCCTATCTGGCCACGGCGGAAACCCCTGCTTGGGTTCTGATTCTCGTTCGTCCTGGAATCTGACCTGTGGTTACGATTAGCACGTCGTCTGCGTACACGAAGATATGTAGATGTCTGTGGGAAGCCGCTCGAAGACACTGTTCATGTCTACCAGGAACAAGGTGACAGCGATCACTGAACCTTGAGGAACGCCAACTTTCGTAACATACTTTCCGCTTGACGATAGCCACATAACATATCAAGACCAACAATTGA